TAAACCCTAAACCCTAAACCTTTAAACCCTAAACCCTGAACCCTAAACCCTAAACCCTTAAGCTTAAACCCTAAAGCCTAAACCTTTAAACCCTAAACCTTAAACCCTAAACCCTAAACCCTTAAGCTTAAACCCTAAACCCTAAACCCTAAACCTTTAAACCCTAAACCCTGAACCCTAAACCCTAAACCTTAAACCCTAAACAACGAAATCAGCTTCCGAGCCCTGCCCCGGACCTTTTGTCGCAGGCTGCAGCGGTCGCCGTATGACGACTCCAACAGCCTGGATGACTCTTTCCCAAAGGGTCCTAAGTACCTAGATGGTATAGAGTGCAGGGTTTCTATATTAGGACTTAGTATTAGGATTTAGGGAGGTATCCCCCATAACAGTATTTGGGACCCTTTCGGTTAGCGTTGGAGTTTGCGGTTTGGTTTTTCGGACCTTGGGTTTTTGGCAATTTCACCAACGTGCGGTTTTGCGAAAGCACTAGGGTTTAGGGTATAGGGTTTGGGGCGGTTTAGGGTTTAGGGTTCAGGGCGGTTTAGGGTTTAGGGTTTAGGGCGGTTTTGGGTTTAGGGTTTAGGGTTTAGGGCGGTTTAGGGTTTAGGGTTTGGGACACAGACCTTCCAGGCCTGTCAGGGGCTGCGCAACGCATATTGAATATGAAAACAGGAGCTTCCCGTGCCTATACCCTAAGCCCTAAGCCCTTAAGCCTTAGCCTAAACCCACCCTAAACCCTAAACCCTAAACCCTAAACCCTAAACCCTAAACCCTAAACCCTAAAATTCCAAAAAACAACCCTATACCGAGGACTTCTTTGTGGATGCTTCAGACAGTTTCGCAGATCTCCGGCCCCTCGGCTTCGGGTTGACGGCTTCGAGCCGTTATGTTTAGGGTTTAGGGATAGGGTTTAGGGTTTAGGGTTTAGGGTTTAGGGTTTAGGGTTTAGGGTTTAGGGTTTAGGGTTTGGGGTTTAGGGATAGCGTGTAGGGTTTATGGTTCAGGGTTCGGGCCTTGGGTTTAGTTTAGGGCCGGGCCGAGTCGAGTGTGTTGAAAGGAGTTGACCTCAGCTGGACCTTCGAGTACGAATCTGCATACAGGCAAGAACTGCAGCAGCGCCTCCCTCCACCCCAATCGTGTCAGACTGTTGATGATAGAAATCCTGCATTACCTTAAGGACCCTAAACTATGGGAATGTTGATACATTCCTTATTATTGGTGATGCAGGATTTGTATCATCAGCGTAAGCTCCCTAATCCCTAGGCCCCAAACCCTAAGCCATTGCTGAGGCTTCCCACCTTCTTTGAGCCAAAGTTGCCAAAGGCGTCCTTGTGTTTGTCGTGGCGGGTTCACGGATGGGAAGCCCTAAGCCCAGAGGATTCGAAAAAGCACGCAGTCATCAAGGATTAAGCGGAGAACCCTTCGGCTCATACCCGAAATCTTACCGTTCGTTTGGTCAACTGCTCATCAACCTGCTTGTAGCTTGGGATGCCTCCTATCCTACACTGACAGCCTTGAACGGCAGATACGCAATAGACTGTGGTCGTCGGCTTCACCTTGTCTGTCAGGTAGGGCTCAGAGCAGAAATCGTAAGTTGTCCCGAGGCATTGCAGGGGATTAGGGCCAGAGCCGTAGCTCCCCGGGGTTTGAGCATCATCCGACTGCATTACGTCTTCCGCGTACACCGTAAGCACGCAGGAGCAGATTTTGCCCGAATCTTCACAGCAACCCACAGGTGCTGATTCAAAAGCCGAACAGCCCCCTAAACCCTAAACCCTGAACCCTAACCCCTAAACCCGAACTGCCCTTCACCCAATTCTACTTCATGCCTTGCATTAACGGCTGCTGGCTTCTCTGAACCCGCAACCATTTTGGGTTTAGGGGTTAAGGGTTTAGGGGTTTAAATTTTTTAGGGTTTAGGGATTTAGGGTTTAGGGATTTAGATTTTAGGGGTTTAGGGGTGTAGGGGTTTAGGGTTTAGGGGTTTAGGGTTTAGGGGTTTAGGGCTTCGGGGTTTAGGGTTTAGGGGTTTAGGGTTTAGGGTCACATATACAGTCGAAAGTCCGCTACACTAGCTGTAAACCTTGTGCCCTAAACCCCCAACCTTGCAGCATGTGTGGGCCAGGGGGTGGCGAACCAGCGGAAGCTTCATCACATGATGGACGTCCTCAGGAGCCGTCCTTGTCAGGTAAAGTTCGGTCCGACAGGCAATTCAATGGCAGTGTCTTTGCATGGTTCTTCTTGTTGAACGAGTTCTAGGCCTTTGAGGCTGTAAGGCTTAAGGTTTTGAGTCCAAAGTTATCGGATGGAGGGTTCAAGAGTTTGGGAATATTGCATTGCGGTTTGTCTAAAGGTTCGGAACCCCCCAAAGCGGTTTTGCGACGGGTATTGTCCAAACAGTTTGCTGCGTGTCGAAAGCAGCTGCAGGGTTTCCGCAGCTATTGCTGCGGCTTCTGAGTGTAAGACTTTAGGCGGGTTTCAGTGAGTCAGATAAGAGTTCTGTAAGGCATTCAGGGTTGAGGGGATTGTGGTTTCGAGTTTTCTTGGTAGGAGATCATGGATTGGGGTTTACGATTGTAGGGTTTGGGGGTCGGTATGCGGCAGATTTTCGCAACAGGTTGCTCGATCGTGCTGCATTACATTGGGCTAAGATATGCATCGTGGCAAGCCCGTGATTCGGCAGGTCTACCCCACACACGAACATTTCGAAACGAATCGAAGAACATCTGCTTTGCTGGCTACACTGCTAGAATCCGGGCTCCGGATCTGCTTGGATGATCTCAATGTTGGTCATCTTCCTCTACTTCGTCCCGGGCTCTCCATCCCATCATTATAAACGTTTTACATAAAGTTTCGCCTCCTCCGACAGCCCTAAACCCTAAGCCCTGAACCCTAAACCCTAAACCCCTAAACCCTGAAAGGAGCCCAATCACGAGCTCCAAGCTACCCCCCCCCCTTCCCCAGGCCATCGTTTAGCCCAGCAGCTTAGTCCTCGGTCACAAGAGCCTAAGAAAAAGGGGGCCTGGTTTGGATTTAGGGAGTTTAGGGATGTTTAGGGTTTAAGGATGCTTAGGGTTTGGGCATGTTTGGGGTTTAGGGTTTAGGGATGTTTAGAATTCAGGGTTTAGTGTTTAGTGGTTTAGGGTTCAAAGTTACAGAACAATTGGCAAGGTATTCCCTTGTTAGTAGCAGACTCGCTGTCTGATTATTCTAGAACAATCACCAAAAGCCTGTTTGCAAATGAATAAAGGCCCCTATGTTGCACACCAAGCCCTTGGCATGCAAACTTGCAGGGAAGACGACCGGCGCAGGACGTGCCAGCAGTAGATTGCCTTCGTCTTTCTTAGCATGACAGTTATCGTTGTCGTAATTGTGGGCTTCGAGTACCATGATCTGATCACGACTGTTGTGGGGCTCGGCAGGGTTCACAGTTTGAAACTCCAAGCAACACTGTCACGGAATAGTTGCACTCACCGTTTTTAGATCACGATCTCGAGCTTCACTGTAGTCGTCGTCATCATCATCATCAGCAGCGTCATCATCATCATCATCATCATCATCATCATCATAGTTTGTCATACCCATGTGAACATAAAGCTGGCCTATAGCTAGTGCTCTCGTGGTCAAGACTGCGGTAATGCTGACTACAGCCATGTCGCTGATGTCCATGAGACCCATGTTTAGTGTCGTGATGCTGTGCTGCCGGCGCTGCTGATGAACATGGTACTCAGCATCATCATGCCCGTCATCATCATCACCATCACAAAGGCGATCAGGAATCCTGGCAGTTGTTATAATCTTTACAATATAGGGTAGTGTTATACACGTGGGTAGAATCGGGTAGGAAGAGACCAGGACACGGCATATTCTTCTCCTCCAAGACCAAGCCCGTAAAACACGTTTTGGCACACACACACACACACCACAAGACATGCAGTTTTCCCCGAAACTTTGGAGCCTGCAGCCGTTATGCAAACAGAACCTCATCCAAAGTGCACGAACCTGAATTGAAGCCTCGAGGAATGCCTTAACAAAACGATGGGAGAGAGTTAGCCCTGCTCATGAGCCCTTCAACTCATAAGATTGAAACCCTAAACCCTAAACTCTAAACCCCTAAACCCTTCCCCTAAACGCTAACCCCGAAACCTTAGCCTCCCAGAAAGCCCTAAATCCTAAACCCTAAGATCCTGAACCCCTTTAGGGTTTAGGGTTTAGGGTTTAGGGTTTAGGGGTTTGGGGTTTAGGGTTTAGGGTTTAGGGTTTAGGGTGTAGCCTTCAACGTGTGCCCTAGCCCGCTTTGCCACCTCCGTGGAAGGATGGACGAGCTCGTGGCACGGAGTTGTGTGCCACAGACCGCAAGCATGACAGTTTAGGGTTAGGACTAATATAGGAGCCTAAATAATTACCATTACGATTTTTGGGGGTGCCTTAGTCAAATTACAGTATAAAGGGCCCGAAAACCCTATGCTAATTATCAAGGCCCCTACCGTACTTCGAGTTGTCGGGTGTGGTTATACCCCTAAACCCTCAAAAGCTTAACCTTTCGGGGCTCAGGGCATGTTGGGGTGTTTGAGGGTTTAGG